TCTTTCCCACCGCTGGACTCTGAAGCATCTTCCTTAAAAACGCTTGAAGACTCATGCACAAACCTTTAAACACACTCTTTTTTCTTTCTCTCTTTTTTTGATATTTACACACATTTGCTTAGAAGTCAACATGTGGACCATAGACTTTTATTAGGGCTGTCGCTCAATTAAATAATTAATCTCATTGTATGCAGATTAATCATTTGAAATATTCATGATTAATTGCATATCAATATTTGATACGAAAAGCCCTCAAGGAAAGATCATTAAAATTTAATTTTATGTCCATTTCACATTAATATGTAAAATTTTTTTAATATAGAATTAATTTTTTTATAATCATCCAAAATTAGTTTAAAATTACAGCCCTCTTTTTAGTATGAAAATTATTATAGTGATTACACAACTTATCCCTTTAAAGAAAACCTTTTGAACTTTTAGTCTGTAGTCATTATGACTTTACATTTAATTATTATTATTTTATTTATTTTATTTTTTTTGGTTGAATGCATTCTCAAAGGGTTTTGTCTGTTTTAGCTTTGTTCTTCTCATTTCTTCCCCAAACCATAGTTAAGTGCACTACAGAAGTGTGTGTGTGTGTGTGTGTGTGTGTGTGTGAGAGTGAGAGAGTGAGAGAGAGAGAGAGAGAGAGAGAGAGAGAATTACTCATGAGAAGAAACGTCACCCCAGTCAGCAAGATGATCCAGCAAGCAAACACACACACAAGTCCCTGCTCAAATATTTTCACTGACAAACTCACACCTACAAACACATCCCCAGATCATATATTACCCAGAACGGAAGAGCACAAATCTTGCAAACACACACACGTTTGAAGTTGTAAAAAAAGCTTTTCAAGTGTATCTTCAAAGCTAGACATGCTAAAGTAATGTAGGCTGATGAGCCTGTTTTTCCACTTGTCCTTAGATTTAGAGGTTGTAAATCTAACAAACTTCTGAATCTTGAAACTAGTTCACGCCAAGACATCTCAAAACTAGTTCATATTTACATATTTTTAAACCATTCCTTCATTTTGTCAGAGTACTCTTGTATATTTTAAAGGTTCATGCAGTATTTTTTTGTTTCATTGGCCAATACAAAGATCTGTTAGCATTAGTATTCCCATACTGTTCATTTCTTGAGGTGCTATTTTAGTATTATTTACTGTTATTTTAGTATTATTTATATACTTTTATAGTATTTATTATTATTTTGAATTCGGTTTTATTTATTATATTGATTGATTGACGTTTTTGTAAATTTGTGCTTTTATTTTTATTAGTTTGTTTGTTTTTTTTACATTTCAATAGCTTTAATTTATATTTCAGTTTTAGTCATTTTAGTACTTCAAATTAAAATTATTTATTTTAAATTATTTTAATTTTTACCTATTTTATTTTATAGTTTTATATTTTATATATATTTTTTCTTTTTTACATTTATTTTTTTTTTATTTTAGTTTTAGTTCACAATAACAGCACTGCTATAAAGTGGACAAAAAATACTTATGGCACCTTTAAAACCAGCTCACAATGACAAATTATACACCTAGTTGTAATAGCTGATGAAACTATTTTACTATTCGTTGATACAGTCATTTTCACTCTCTCTTTCTGTTTTCACTCTCCGTTATCTCTTACCCTTTTAAATATTGACCATGGTATTCATAATTTCCCTAATATACTAGTTACTGTAGTTATTGCTAAAAAAATAGATTTTATTTAATAGTAACAATAAACAGCATAAGCAGCTTTTTTAATATCTCTATGAAGCTTTATTTTAGTTTTATTCATTTCAGTAATTCAACATTTGTAGTTTAAGTTTTAGTAATTTTGTTTTGCGCTTTTGTTGTTAGTTGCCTTTTTAATGTTTTTTTATGAAGCTTTCATTTATATTTATTTTAGTTCTAGTAATTTTAGAAATTCAAGCTAAAAAAACGTAATTTTTAATTTAAGTTTTAGTAATTTTGTCTTTTGCACTTTTTTGTTGTTGGTTTTTTTGTAGCTTTAATTTATATTTATTTTAGTTGTAGAATTTTTAGTAATTCAAACTAAAAAGAAACCACATTTAATTTTTAGTTTTAGTAATTGTATATGCTTTTTGTTAGTTTGCTTTTTTAAATATTTCTGTGTAGCCGTAATTTATATTTATTTTAGTTTTAGT